TAAATATGTGTTTCTGTTTTTTTTGAGTTTATAGATATTTTTATTGGATTAAAAAAGAGATTTAAATGTAAGTGATGGATAAAGTTGTTAAGTAAAACAGATTTAAGTATTTGAGATAAGTTATGTTGTTTTAGAAATTTTTTGTAGCATTTATCTATCTCAATAGAAGTTGAAGTATTAGAGTTAGAAATAGTATTTGTAATGTCTTCTACAGAGTCGCTCACCGTTTTAAGCTCAGCTTGCACAGCTGTGGAGGATACCATAACCTGCCCTGTACGTTGGGTCTGGTCATTATATTCCTGGTCCTTCACTACAAGTCTTTTTTTAATTATATGCTAATTACTATAATTAATTTAGCTATATTTAGTTTATTAGTTTATCAAATATAATTATAATTAATTTAGCAAATGTAACATAGATAGATAAGCATCATTATAACTTATTTACTTCACTCTATGGTGCAATTTTGCTTATCAATAATGTGATTAACATGTGTATTAATGATCGACTTTTATTTGTAATGATTTATATTTATTTTCTATTTTTATCTTTATTTATTAGTAATTATATGCCAAAATCTTTCAGATAAATTAGTAAGCCTTATGAGTGAACTAAGCTTCTATTTTTAATATACTTTTATTCTTAAATTTATGTACTTTTAAAAATTATTTAAACCTGACAAGATTTCTTTAATAAAATTTAAGTATTTTTATTGACAAAATTATATACAAAGTACTTTGAATAACAAAAATTTTTACAGTTATAATTATAGGTTAAAGGGATATGCAGTATACAAGAATAAATACAAAAATAGGATGCAAGATAAGACAAAATATGAATGACTACATTCAGACCCAACAGTCGATACTAGTAATAGGCTAGGTCCATATAAAGAAGCATGTAAAGTATTAGATAGAGAATGTAAAACTATTGAGTTTGATAATAAAATAGTTAGAGGAAGGGATTCTATTATTTTCCAAAGGATTGCTAAATTTAATGAGCCAATTAGACTCACTCTAGTACCTACTCTTACAGGAACAACATATTGGCTAAAGGCAAAAATAAACCAGTTATTGGAAATAAGTACAATAGTATTAGTGCCAAATTCAAAGGTAAGACCAACACAACTATTAGAGGTAAGTCCAATTTTTTTGATACCAAAGACAGGTCCAAAAAAATAGTATTTGATTATTAACCTAAAATGGTTAAACAAAACCTTATCTATAAAGTCATTCAAATTTGAAAGGTTCTTAACCTTTCTAAAAATAGTAGAATGAAATTGATAGATAATTATATTGGATTTAAAAGAAGGTTATTATTATATTTTAATGAACAAAAAAGCACAAAAGTTACTAGAGTTTGTTATAAAAACAAATTAGTATCATTATTGAGTACTACCGTTTGGCCTAAACCAAGCAGTATGGATATTTTTAAAGGTTATAAGGGTGCTAATAGGGCATTGGAGGTCTCATAAAATATTTTGTGGGAATTATGTTGACAATATTTGGGTTACCCATCCAGATCAGGAAGTATTATTAAAAATAAAAGACCTAATTATATTAAAAGATTTAAGAAAATATGAGTTTGTATTAGCAGAAAAAGGGCACTTAGAATCTATACAAAAAGCAAAGTATTACAAGTTCATATTGGACACAGTTTTAGAAAAAGTTACTGCTCTAGAAACAAAAATAAAGAACATATCATTCAACTTAAAAGAGCTTCTATCAAATAGGCCACCTATAGCCCATCACCTCTCCTCAAATACTAGAAAATTAATGAGTATAAGCAAAGCTTTCAAGTATGCAAAAGTTCAATGCTTAAAACTTTATTTAATAATAGATGCAGAGAAAAGGAAGTCTTGAAAATAGGATATGCCAGTACAATTAACAAACCAGGCAATTATAGATATAAATTAGACTATAAAAAATCTGAGAAAGAAAAATAAAAGTCTAGCATAGATGCCCTTACAAGTAATGGCACTATTTGTGAATATGTCTACAACAGGTTGGTCAGTAGCTATGAGGAAAAAACAGGCTTTTGGAAATTGAAATCACTGTTACAAGTATATAGATATTACAGTTCTAGAGTCTATGGCAACCCTTCTTGGCTTCAAATCTTTTGTACTAACTATTGCAGACTATTATGTAACAGTTTTTATAGACAATCGAGTAGCCAGAAAGATGGTAGAATTAGGAGAAGAAAGGCCTTGGCAGAAAGAAATAATGCAGAAAGTATGAAATTTCTATGAGTTGTACAATATCCAAATTTAAGAATTCCTATAGATGCCTTTTCAACTAAACCCAGCAAACAAGTTAACAAGATTATTCGATAAAACAGATTGGATGCTTTTTTAAGAACTGTTCAACCTTATAAATTAAAGGTGGAGACTTTTTTTGATAGATTAAATGACAAGTTACTACTCAAGAAAGCTCAATCATTTCAACAGTCAGTTTCACTACCCAGATATGGAAGCAGTAGATTGTTTTACCCAAAACTAAGAAAATGAAAACAACTATGTTTACTCCCCTTTGGGTTTGCTTTACAAAATATTTAAACAAGGTATGCAATGCAAGGCTACTATAATATTAATAACTCCAGTTTGGCCCTTAGCACCATGGTGGCCTATCCTTTTACAACAAAAAACTGAAGTAATAGAACTTTCTTCTGTAACCAAAAGTTTTATACTAAGTTAAAGTAGGAACCTACTATCAGAACCTTGAAAAAATCCAAATTGGAAGTTCTAAGCAATAAAAATTTATTTTTAAATTCATTGTTGCTAAAAGTAAATAAGTTTTTATTACCAGACTCACCATATGAAAAACATTTGCAAGGTCTTTAAAAAAAGTTTATTACCTTTTGTGAGCTTAACGAAATAATTGCCTGCCTAGTGAAATTTGATACAATTCAAATGTTTTTAATGTGGAAGAGCTTAACTATGAGATCAGTAAATCCAAAATTTTATTTAATCACAATTAGCTGCTATCACCAAATAAAAGAAGTCAAAGACCCAACACTAAACTTCAACATTCAAAATCTATCAAGAAAATTATTTAAACAAATAGTAGCAAATAAAGAAGCTATATGGCTATGAAACCCTCTGCCAACTGATGCTCTAAAAAATTACCTAGATAATCCACCTCACAACACTCTGCACAAAGTTTAAAAAAGAGACTGTGCAATAGTTGCACTTGGGTTATATACAATAAGACATCCTATTGAGCTATATAATTTAAAACTTGGTGATTTAAAAATGTTAAAAATAAGTCTGTTGGGTTAAGATAAACAGATCAAAAACTGAACAATTTGCAAAAGGAAAGTTCATTCCAGTTGAATTTACAAATTCAAGATACTGTTTAGTAAAACTGGTATTTGATTACCTGTCCTTAAGAGAAAAAGTGAAAAGAGATAATTGGTTATTTGTAAATGTAAATGAAAACTATATAACAACAGAAGCAGTAAACTTAATAGTAAAAAGAATAGCACTTCATGTTGGTTTAGAAGGAAAATACTCAGGCCATAACATTTGTATTGGTAGTGCTACAAGCACAATGAAAGCTAGTTTAACATTATTGCAAATTATGAGCATTGGGGGATGGTTATTCCAATTAGTAGCCCTTTATCTTAGGTTCCTTTCAACAGTTTTGCAAAATACTTCTGTAAGGATGAGATTTTAGAATTAGTATATTTTAGTAACCTTATCTTAACTCTGATTCTCTTTTTGTCTCCTATGATGTTATTCCATATATATTTAAATAAAATAATCTGAGTGAGAATAATAACATGTGAGCTGATGTAGTCAGCATTAATATTATTATCACAAGAATTGTTTTGATTAAAGATATGTGTAATCAGAGTAAAGAGTTATATAAATTTAGAAATTAAGGGATAAATAAAATGAAAAATTTAGAAAATAAAATTAAAGATGAATGAAATAAGAATTTAAAGAAGTAGGAATAGAGAATGTTCAGAAGTGCTTGTTTCTTTTACTGCCCAATTATCATTATCTGGCTCTATCATGTTTAATCTTTACCCTTCACTTCAAAAATAACATACAGATATATATATATATTATTATACCATCTTTACTACTGCAATAAATTTTGTCAGTTCTTAGCTTAATGCTTTATTTGAAAATTGCTATACCTAGGCATGAGCACCTTACTACTGTAGTGAATCTTGCATTTACTCAGTTCTTGATTTAGAATTTATTACTTACTATTACACATACATATTACAAATATTGTATACATTGTTTAAATGAAAGGTTGGCATAGGCACCTTACTACTGTGATAAATCTTATATTTGTCTAGTTCTTAATCTAGAAATATATTTATATTTATATTTTTATTTAGGTCATTACACTATGCATAGGCACTATATTATTATGTAAATATTGTTTTACCAACTTTCAAATTTATATATTATGTATATTGATACTTTTTTCTATCATCTACTTGTACTATTACACCATGATTATGTATTCGATGCTCACTATACTTTCATCATGTAACTTGTAGCGAGCACACTACTCTCATAATGCTATTCTATATATATTTAAATAAAGTAATTTAAGCAAGAATAATATATTCTACTAGCATTTCCTATCTCTGCTGATTTTTGATAGTAAATAAAAGCTTTATATTTATTATTTTTAGTTTTAATGCTATTAAAGTAACAATATACACTCTATTAGCTCCCTATCTATATTGATTTTTGATAATAAATAAAAGCCTTATTTTTATTATAATAATATTGCCCAACATTATATATTCCTTCAATGTGTCCTATATCTGCTAATTTTTAATAATAAATAAATAGTTTATGTTTATCCTTTCTAACTCTAATTCCTTTGTTATAATAATATTCAACATTGCATGTTCTATTAATATTACCTGTTTTAGCTGATTTTGATAATAAATAAATGCTTTATGTTCATCCTTTTTAACTCCAATTCCACTGTAATAGTATTGCCCAATATTATATGTTTTATTATCATGCCCCATATCTGATGATTTTTAATAATAAATAAATGCCTTATCTTCATTCTTTTTAACTTTTATTCCATTCTGATAACAATATTCAAAATTATATGTTTCATTAATGTCTTCTGCTTCTGCTGATTTTTGATAACAAATAAATGCTTTGTTTTTATTTTTTTTAACACCAGTTCCAATTGTATAGTAATTTTCAACATTAAAAATGCCTTCAAAATCATCCATATCAACAAATTATTAGCAAAAAAGATACTCAGCTAAACATTATAAATGTTAAAATGTTTATATATATAATGATATGCATTTTGCATATATAGCATAAACTGCAAGAAATCTGAGATATAAATTTTCCTATAAACTAGGTATACTAATATTTACAGTTCACTCTCATTATAGTAAACTTTCGATATAGAAAACTTATTTAAATCTTAATATTAATAAGGTTAAGCTCAAAGTTTATAAAAAAAATTTTCGAGATAGTGAATTTCTGAAAAATTTATTCATGAAAAAAACGTAAAAATAAATAATTTGGTGGGCAATAGGAACTTTCATATGATTGGTTAGTGTAATTAATTGCTCTTTATACATTTTAATGCATAGTTAGATCATATCAAACTTTATATAACCAAGATGGTTATAATGTATTAGTAAATTTTATAAGTCATAAGGTCATAATCAACAATTAATTAATAAGTTATAACAGGTCATATTCTAACACTGCTTTAACATACATACAGTACATTGAGCTGCATTGAAAAATATTTCAGATCAAAATATGACAATTTACTATAAACACTAACATTAATCAAACTATTATAACCAGAACACTATAAGTATAATAACCAAACCCTAAAAGTGTAAGTAGAGATAGGCCACTATGCAGTCTGTGACATTATTTTCAATTCACTAAAAGCACTAATACTAATTAAACTATTATAATCAAAACACTATAACTATAATAACTAAACCCTAAAAGTAGTAAGTAGAGATGGGCCACTGTGCAGTCTCTGCATTTTTCACTGTGCAGAATTTTTAAGAAATTACATGATGTGATTTTTAAAATTTAGATTAGCTAGCATAATTCTGACCAGCTAGTATAATTCTAATCAACTTGCATAATGCATAGTGAATTCAAAAAATTTTTAATTTACCCATCCCTAGTGGTAAGGCTTTGATAGAGGTGTGGAAAGAATTGGTTCGAGTAACTGGAATTAATTGGAATTTAGTAATAGTGTTGTGTCCAGATAAGTCTTCTTTACTTCCATTTAGATAATTTGGTCTTCTTTCTTATTACTCTACTAATCTTTACTTTTTCAACTATGAATTCAATTTTCAATATTATATGGTTTAGAGTTGGCACTTGAAATGAAACCTACCTGAAACTAGTTTCAGGAGACTCTAATCTGAAACTAGTTTTAGATTTTCTAAAAAAAAATCTGAAACTCTGAAACTCTGAAACTTGAATTTCCAAAACTATAATCCAAAATCCTGAAACTATAATTTAAATTTTTTAAAAAATTTTAACTTAAAAAATACAAACAAAAAATTTAGACTAACAAAGTAATAATAAATTAAGTGAATTGATATTTCCACACCTATATAGGATTCTGCCATACTTCCATAATTACATGACATTATACATGGAATAGTATATTATGATAATATATATTAGAGAATGAATATTCTTTTTTGATATTGCTACACCTCTGCTAATATAAATTATTGAGATTTTGGTTAGAGTTTAGAGTTTGCAATGGTGTGACAATATTAAAAAAGAGTGTAAAAATATCAATACCCTAATATATATTATTATAATATACTATTTTATATATAGTGTCAAGTAATTACAGAGGTGTGGCAGGATTCTATATAGGTGTAGAAATATCAGTTTCCTAAATTAATCATTCTATTTATTTCAAATAGCTCAATAAATAGAATATTTTAGTATAGTCAGAAAGTATTATAATTGCAGTTTTTTAATCCTCCAATTTGTGCAATAGCACAAAGTTTTTATTAATACTACTAAGCCATTTGTTACTATTATTTTTTTCAATAATTTTTTGTTGCTATATTCTGGCTTCAAATAAATAATCAGAGTTATAATCTTCTAGAAATGCATTAAAAATTAAATCTACAATATTTTCTAGTTCATTCACATTTTCTTGATTAGTTTTTATAATTCATTTTGAATTTCATTTTTTTTGCATTTATTGTTAATAAGAATTTGGTTATGACAATTAATATATACTTTTAGAATAGTGTGTTCATTGGATTTTATGTTTTTAATAATCATTTTTTACTTTAAATAATCAAACAAAAAAACTACTTACTAAATCAATTAGTTAATATTTTGATAAATATTATTATCATAATTAATTGTAAACTAAAAATATTATAAACTTTTTAAGTGGTGATTTTATCTTGGTCTACATTGATCATACTTGAAATCAATAATTCATCAAATTTATTCAGTTAATTTTTTATAAGATGTTTCAGGAATAATAATTTTTTTTTTTTAGTTTCAAAAGTGATCTTACTTGTGTGTCTTTTTATTATTAATCATATAAGATTACATATTATATACAGGATATATTAATGAAAGTACAACTAGTCACATGTATAACTTTAATCATTATCTAATTAAGGGTTCCACTCATGGGTTACCTACTAGATAACATACCTGAGATCTGACTATGAGTCTCTTATTTAAACTTTCTAATTTTTAACACTTACTGCATATATATATACTGTATATTACTAAATATCATGACAGAATAGGTTAGGGCTATCTAATTACTATTTATATCTAATTACTATTTATATATAAGTACCATCTTATTGGATGTTACTAAGTATCCATAATCCTTTAAATTTATTCTTGACACAAACTTACTAAGTATGATACCAAGATTACCTCTTAGATTTATTTAATTTTAATAGATCCCATATCTACTAAAACTGGTTTTGATGCTAGAAGTGTTCAAATTTTGATAAGTCTATTCCTTTTCTATAGTTTTCTTTTATATTCACTGTATCATCCACTAGTGCACCTTCTCTCTATTTCTAGTATGTTTACTGCTTTTCTCACATCAAGCACTAACTCTTTATATTGGAAAACTTCTTTCTGGGAACTTTCTTATATACTGATCTTTTAATCACATGGACTTAACCACAAGGCTTTGTATACATTTATATGCTTCTATAGATTACAGAGTTTTGCCTTCAGCTGGAATTGAACCATTGATCTTGTCTGTGAAGGAAGAGATGCCTAGACCACTAGGCTATAGGACCCCATCCCCACCAGGAATAACAATAACAACTGTAAATCTGGATCTAATAATTAAATTCAGATATAAATTATTAAATCTGAATCAAAGACATTATAGAATTTACAATTTAGAAGTCAGGTTAGTTAATCCACTTTATATATTATTGTAAAGATACAATCTATAACTATTTTGTATTATAAAAACTGGTTTAACCCAGGTTTGTATATATAAAAAATAGTTTAAATTATACCTCTAATTTATTGTTATTGAGTTTATAGAAATTTATTATACCAATAGGGTTTCAGGATTTCGGGTAAGGTTTCGGGGTTTCGGATGGGGTTTCGGGGTTTCGGATGAGGTTTCGGAAACTATAATCCGAAACCCGAAACTTTCGGATTTGGCCAAAAAGGTTTTGGTGACCAACTCTAACGTGGTCACAACTCAGATCAGTTACGTGGTATCAAATTAATATTAAATTTTATATATAAAGAATCTTATATACTTTTAATTACATATGAATAAATTCATTAAATTTATTAATTTCTTCGTTTTGCCCTTTTGCTCCATTCCATTTAATGAATTTAACAAATTTAATAAAGTTAAAAAATACAAACGACTGTGCCACGCGGTTTACTCATCATTTATAAGTGGAGTAAAAGTGGAAATTATCCCCTGAAATTACTGCGGCTGTGATGTAGTATCCTTAGGATTCGAAGTTTCTCCAGATAATAGATATATTAGAGATAGTTAGAATGTTTAGTATCTCCGATATCTTTATTATATTCGTTATATCCGTTATTTCCATTACTATGTAAAAATAAGTATAGAAGCGAAGCCATTTCGCTCTGAATAAAGAACAGTTCTCAGATCTGACAGCTCTGATACATCTATACACATTGTGTAAACAATGCAAAATATGCTAGTAATATGTTAAAATAAGTTATTAAAGTTCACGGGACTTTATAGTCAAATTAATTTTGCTACCATTTTTACATAGGACTTTAGTACAGCGCAATAGCACAAATATTTTGAATTCATTATTTGCATTGATTTATAATTTATTTAACGATGTATTTGATCTTTACCATAGTATAAAACATTGATTGATTTACTATAATCCTGTGGTTTGATTACATAGAGATAATTTATTAATTTATTTTATCTGAAATAAAGCTATTCCATTAAGTAACCTTCTGTAATTTTCAAAAAAATTAACGTAGTGTTCTTGCGAAGTGCATCTTTTAATGCTTTTATTCCTTTTGGTCCAAATCGGTTATAACCAAGATTCAAATATTTTAATGTATTGTTCTTGTAAAGTGCAGCTACTAATGCACATCCTTCTTATGCACCCAAATTATTTTCTTCAATATTTAAAGAAATCAATGCAATATTCTTGCAAAGTGCATCCGCTAATGCTTTGCTAGCTTTTATTCTTATAGTTAGTGGTAGAATTACTAAATTATGGCATTCTACCATATGGTAGAATTAATTACGGTATAGCATCTAATTCCCGTAATTATGTGGCGGAGCCAAAATTCAGAAAATCGACCAAAATTCTGGGTCAGTATACATCGGAACGTTTCGGTATTACTTAATACAACCTGTTTCTGATGAATGCTTTTGGTCAATATGATTCCGTATTTATACTTACGCAAAAAATACGGCACGTGCCGTAATTCGATAATTTTCAAAATTAATTCTACCACCAACTATATCTATTCTAAGATGATTATTATGAAGATTTAATTATTTTAGGGTAATGTTCTTATAAAGTGCACCTAATAATGCTTTTCCACAAGGTTATTACGAATAAGGTTTAATTAAAGAAGTTAACGGGGGGTGTTTCTACAAAGTGCATATACCAATGCTTTTCCTCCTTCAGATCCCAAATTATTGTGCCAAAGATCTAAAGAAATTAATGTAGCGTTTATGCAAAGTGCAGTTTCTAATACTTTTCCTTCTTCTAAACCAAAATTATTATCACCAAGATTCAAAGAAATCAAAGAAGTCAACGTGATGTTTTTACTAAGTGCCTCTGCTATTGCTTTTCCTACTTCTAACCCAATGTCATTATCTTCAAGATCCAAATAAGTCAGCGCGTTATTCTTGCAAAGTGCATAAATTTTTACCTCATTTTGGGGTCGTCTAAAGCCATGTACCCACATGACTTTTTTATGTAAATCAACCAAACGGAATTACGAAATTTTGTTTACACGGATCAGTCCGAAGTTGACAAAGAATAAAGAAAACGCAAAAAGACGGAAAAACAGCTTTCTAAACCTGTCTTGGGGCACTAATTAAAAATGTCGGAAAGGCAATTTTACCTATACCCCTTTTCTTATACTAATACCAACCTAACCCCAATCCTAACCCTAATTTTAATAAAACGTCAAAATCACGTGGGTACATGGCTTTAGCCATCCCCTAAAAATATCAAGAATATGATCTATGCAATATGTAGATCAATATGTAATTGGACACGGCTCCAGGTGCGTTCACGTGACAAACAGCCAACCAAGCAATATAATTTTGATTTACCCGGCAAAAAAAAAAGTGAAAAAACACAAATAAAAGAAACGATTGTTTAAACCACTCTCGAGGCACTAGTAGGAAGGCAATCTTACCTACAAATACTGCCTTAACTCTAACCTCTAACTAACCTTTAACCTAATTAATCAAAAACATATAAACGCACCTGGCTTTAGTCATCTCCCAAATTAGGAAAACTATTTTCTTTTTCAAGTTTTTATATCGTCATCCAATATCGGAATACATAGTATAAAATTTGAATCAATAGTTTTAAGGATACCTAAATCTATTAGTTCACTAGTTTCAAATATAATTATGTTCATTCCAAATTTCATTGTTTACTGTTGCACTCGATATTTATAAATTCTTAATATATTTTCATTCTATAGTAACTTTCCCTTTATACTTCATTTACACTATATTTATTTAAAGAATTTAAGTATTTATCATTCCTACTTTAACCAAATTAGTAAAAATAATATAATATATGCTACAATAACAAGACATCGAAATGTTTCGTAATTTTACTCGAATTTTAGTCTTAATCTTGTTCTAGACCTACATCCATTCATTCTCTATTTAGGTTGTTTCGGAACAGCTTCTTTTTTCTAATGCTAAAATTTAGAACTATGCTAAAAATTTAAAAATTCTACGTAGGCTGCTAGCTTGCATACGTAGTAATTTGCTACATAGCCTAAGTTTATAATCAATCAATATTTTATTAAAGGAGTCATCCATACTGCAAAAGATTCTACCATTACTGTACATATCCGGTATCTTATGTGAGAAACACACAGAAGACCGATCCAGAATCGTTTGGTCCTTGTCCTAATTATGGTCCAACGATAAATACTATTTTATGATAAAATAACTGATAAATTAATATAACGAAAATAATAATAATAGAATTCTCAACTCTTCCAATCATGAACGATAAACAATCGGATAATCTACGAAATGAACTAGAAAAAAATCTGCCATTATTATTATTGGAAGACAGTTTGTATGGTGGCAGGCACAACAAAAATACGACATTATTTGGATATACAGGTTACCAATGTAGCTTCGAAACAAGCATTCTCCATAGTGAAGTCTCACTATTTCAACAAGAGATGATGAAATACTGTGTTTAAAAAGTTGGCTTCACAAGAGATTTGCAAATTAGATAATTGAACATCTTAGTATCTACAATATATATTCATAATTATATGTACTATACTTTGAATAATATAAATTATCAAGATCTGGTTGTTAACAAATGGTGTGAACCAATTTCGCCGACAAATTTTCGCCTGATTTAGTTAGGGCTGGCCTGCTTTACAGTTAATGTTGGTTAGAGATTGACGGCGAATTCTACCAAAACCTCAAATAAAATTTTATTGTTAAGTTTTTAAATTATAGTCGTGAGACCGTTTCTAGAACTGAAAGACGGACCGACCGACTGAACTCATAAATAGTATAAAATCGGACTGGTCTATCCCTGAATGATGATTTAATCTGAAATGGAAATATAATGCCTTATGCGGGACATATTCAAAGAACACCAATGCATAGCAAGGATCAAACTTGTTATTTGATTTACGTACCCCTTTTACAATAATCATTTAATGTACGTAAGGACTTTTTTTTCGATTTAAGGTTATTTAAAAGTCTCGACCTTATGTATATGTACGCACGTACATAATCTTTCACGCTATCAATCTAAATTAGTATTTATAAAGGTTCACAAAAAAAATATCTTATGCATGTTGATATCAAATGTTCAGTATCATTGACTTTTATGGTGCTTCATTAATACAGAAAAGTCTTTCGAACACGTTTCTGAAAATACAAAAAAAAAGACTTTCAGTATGATATAAACTTTTAGGAACAGTTATTAAAATTTTTAGTCATCATTTTCACACGCTTTCTATATTGTTTGACGAAACTATTCAAAGTGACTCCTCAGACACTAATTAAAGACCAGTCTAGATTAGAGGTGCAGACATATTGCTGCCGCTAATTACAACTTACATTAAAAACTGGGGTTAGTGAACTTTTCATATCAAATATTGAAATAATTAAGCTAACGACCATACTACATCTCAATTATTCGGAACATCTACTTTAAAAGCCCCACAATAAGTGACCTGATCTACAATACAAGCATTGATAACAATTGTTTCTTTCAAAATTTCGTTATATTACGAATATGAGCTTCTAAAGCTTGCTAGCATTTAAAGCCATAAATATTACATTTATATTTTAAGACGACGTGACAAGACAAAAATTATACACTGTCAGACTTAATAAAATAAATGTAGAGATTCCGCGAGATTTTGGCGTACCTCACTGCATCCTTCCACAGCATAGTTGCATAGTTTTAAGACGGGTGCTTTTTTATTTTTGTGTTTATATTTATGTGTTGCCAAAGGAAAACCTCCATTGGCGGCACCAATTTACTGCGTATGCAATTACAATTTTAGATCCCTTGATTTCATGTTTTGATTAAAGGTAATGGGACAAAATATGTAATACAATATTTACTTCCCGGAGATTTTTATTGAATTCCGTAATTAATAAATCTTATGTACGTACGTAGTACATATGAATCACCTTCAATGAAGATTATTTCTATTTTGAAGGGCAAATACTTCAAATAAACCGTCATAATAAAGTTTGAATTTTGGAATAATAAAAATTATTGACTATTTTAAAGATCTGAATTGATAACCATTATGCTAAATAGTGTTCCACCAAATTGGATCCGAATTAGGTCTACTTAATAATATTTATAATGTTTCGAATGCATAGTACGTATCATTATTAAAATTAATGATTGGAGATTAATGAAAGCTGAATTATTATCTTTATTCCATTTATAGGAGAAATCTACTTTGCATATACATGCCGATATTGTCCGTTCCCATGCACCTTGGCATTTTGCGATACTCGTTGGAACGCCAAAGCGAACCAACTCCTTGGATGTCGCCCCTGCAGAATTTCTTGTATAACGGATAAAGTTACGAACCGTAATGCGTAACCATTCCCTGCCTGATCCGGTTACTAGTAGTTTAATTTCCATCACGATAATTTAAATTTCGACCTCAAATTTGAGCAATGTAAGGATGTTATATGGTTTATCTTAGACTAATAGATCACGGATAGTCTTAAGGTTAGTCTGGACTTGGAAAAAGTTGGTCTGCTTTTAGTCTTAAGACCACCGAGCAGACTAAACCAGACTGGACTGTTAATATCCCTAGAATAATGATAAATACACTTGATCATTTTTTCTTCAAACAAGAATTTATATAGTAAACTCTTTCCTATTATTACTTAATATTTACTGAAAATAGAGTAAACTTGATCAGTCCTGTCATTAGCTTTAGGGTTTGCGCCTTAATAAACTTTATTGTTTCACAATTTGACGGACTGTGATTACGTTAAATTGTATGTAGAGTAATTTGATATTGCATATATAGAGTTACATAAAAACCCGTCAATCAATATTCGGTAATGCTTATTTTTTTTAAGTTCCCGCGTTATCGTAGCCTCAACTAACCTTAATTTTATTATATAATTTAAATATGATCACGTAATTTTGCCAACATCTTTCTTTAAAGTTTATAATTCTTAAAATTTAGTGCGAGTATTTGTTATTGATTCGGTTAACGATAACAGCTTATTTTTTTTTGATACTAAGGTACTACATATATGACGATTGCTTTTGGATATTCACTATGAAGTAAAACTCATAATTAATAATATTTTTCACTTTACATATATCGACTAACCAATCAAATTGCAAATTTTATGAAACTAAAAAAAAAAAAAAAGCAAAAAAGCTATCTTTGAACACTAATAAAAATGATGAAGTATGTTTTTCCTATACCAATTTTTTTTCTGATCTTATATATTTCACTTTGGAAATCCTTTCGGATTAGACAATCGAAAAATAGGTCTGTAATATTGGTCTATATTCATTCGTTTTGTTGGATTATTTTTTAGTATCAATAAATTTTTCTCTCATCTTTCTAGGTGAGCGGAATTGACATGTACAGAATTGGCTAAGTGCTTACATAACTATAAACAATATTGGTATTATGACTTTAAAGAGTACATTATGAAGAGTTTAAAACATGCATTTTTATTTGTACTTTTTTATCAATTCAAAATTGTAATAAAGATAATACAAGAAACATTAGCTTATAATCATATGCATGACATCAGACATGCATGCAAAGTACGTTGCGCGTTCTAAACAGATACTGAAATTTGCTATGAATGGATCCTCTATAAATATGTAACTGAAGTGAGTAGCGCCAAAAACATTGCTTAATTCCAGCTTTCGGTAAAAAAAATATAAAACCAAAAAAAATAATATAGAAACAAAATACAAAAACAAAAATACAAACTAAAAAAAAAATATATATATATATATATAAGCAAAACTACATATAAATAATATATATGTATATACATAAAAAAAAATACAAAAACAAATAGATAAAAATACAAAAACAAATAGATAAAGCTAAAAAAAAAATAGAATCTTGTAAGTTCAAATATACATTTTTCGAAACTTTTTTTAAGAAGAAACGCGACAAATAATCTTATGATCTCGCTAACCTCTTTAACTACAAATCCTTTAGATAATGGCGTCTGATACATCTTTTCAAATCATTGAATGCTTTGAATGTGGAAATACACGCGATATTGTATGGTGCTCAATCTGCGAAACCGATGCCTTTACACGGAATTTTCATAGATGGACAAGTGGTAACACAACGATAGACCAAATCATTCAATATACCCAACGTCATGCAAGCAAAGATGTGGGCTACCTAGAATGGATTCCATTTGAAAATATTTGATTTAATAGAATATCGTGCAACAGGCTCTTTTAGTACTATTTATAGCGGTCTATGGTTAGAAGGCCCTAGATGGAATTGGGACGAAAAAAACGCCGATTGGCTTAGAAATGGTCCGACAAAATGTGCCTTAAAAAAAATAGAAAATTCTAATCAAATGAGTCGAGAATATTTAGATAATGTAAGTTTGTATTTCAGTAAAAAAAAAATCCATATCAACATAATTACTCATTCAATTACTGATTTAATATTATTCTTTATACTTAGATTATAAAATATCATCAATGTCTTCAAGGAAGATCTGTTGTTGATTGCTTCGGTTTTACACGTGATCCAACAGGTTGCTATATGTTCGTAATGAGACTTTGTGATGAAAATTTATACCAATACATTGATAAAGCTATGGATTATCTTCGCTGGGAATTTATTGTTGAAATGCTTCGTGGAATTATTGATGGCCTTAAACGAATTCATGATAATGGACTTTATCATGGTAACCTCCATGGTGGAAATTTGTTAATCGAAAATATACCAGGAAGAATTGGTATAAGAATTTCCGATATCGGACTATATGGTCCAGCCAACAAGACAGCTTCCGCGATATATGGTGTTTTACCATATGTTGCTCCGGAAGTATTAAGAGGTAAAGAATATACACAAGCTTCGGATATATATAGCTTTGGAATAATTATGTGGACATTGTCTGCATGCATGCGTCCTTTCTGTCGTGTTCCCCATGACTTTAATCTTGCTATAAGTATATGTAATGGATTACGTCCTGAAATTATTAATCATACTCCAGAAGCATATTCAACGCTAATGAAAAGATGCTGGCATCAAGACCCAAATAGACGACCGAAAGTTATTGAATTAAGCAAAATTTTAAATCGTTGGATAACTGCGATTTATGATAATTCTGTCTCAAACTTATTAAATACTACTAATAATGATAGAGTTAACTCAGAAAATTTTATATTCACTAATCGAATAATTCATCCTAAGGCAATTTATACTAGTCAATTGTTAAACCTTCAATGTTTATCTGATGATGTTTGATTAATTTTTAGAATTGGCAAAATTGAAAATGGCAAAATCTGTATGCAACTTTTATGTAAGAAAAATAAATAAGGACCATTAAGTAAAAATTCTTATGTTCATTTAACTTTCTATACAATTAAAAAAATACTTTAATATAGTTGTCATGTTTCGTTCAGTAATATATTAGTGTCAAGACACTGTACATATTATAAAATGTTCGGTTTTAAAATAAAGCTAAATTTTAAAATTTTAACCTTAAGAAGAGAATTATCATTTACGTATCGACAGATTAGAGTCAATACCTCAATCCGAATATAATTTTTTAAATCCGTTTTTATCATAAACCCGGATTTAAAACGTTATATTACATGACACCCGACCTACATACTGCGGCTAAGTACGACATATGATCACGGGGTTAAGTGCAATTTATCGCATTTATTTTACTTATCGAATTTATCGAATTTAAGGTATTTATTAGATAAATTAAAGGCATTTATACCATTTATTTGTAATACTGAGTCTTTTATAAATAAAGACCGTGAAGATCCTTGGAAAAAAGTTTTCGTGCTGCTTACAATTATCGCCCTAATAAAGAACATCATTTGATCCATATACCTCTTAAGTTCCTAAATAAATACCTCTTGATAAATACTCCAAACCCAAATCTATCACTAAGTGGCATAGTAAAAGGTCTTTGTTCGCATAATTTTCTTGCTCCCATGACTTCGTACCCGATTGTTGTCCGGTTGATTCTCGACGAATTGAGGACTGCCATGGTTGTTTTCCAACTCTTCCAACGTATCGTGATAGTTGTGGTGATTGTTTGGTTGTTCCAGTTTAAAGCCAAAGTGAAAGGTCCAAGCCGTGGTTTATGCTGTGAATAAAGAGTATAAACGTTACTGCTACAATTCGGTTTCCTATTCGAATAAATAAGACATACCTACGACCATAATTATCCACTTGCCAAATATAACCGTTGACACGGGCGAAACGGCGAGTCAGTCGCTTGTCGATGGGATATGTCGTGTAACCTACGAACGGCTTAGTCGATAA